GTCTGAGAAAAGAATTTTGTTTACGTTAACGAAATAATGTATTTCGTATGTAGACGCTGTCCTTTCTTTAAGTGTTTATAAGTTATCTATTTCGTCTTAATATCGTATAGAAATCAGCTGTTGTACGAAAAATATAGGTCAAATTTTTTTCGTATTTTTAAAGTTTAATAGTCCAGGCAATGTGTGAAAAATTTTTTAGCCCCGAAAAAGAAAATGTTTCTGATTTTACAGTCCATGTGTTTTCGTGTTGTCTTTTGTTTTATAAGTAGGAGGAAGTAATAATGCGATTTCGCTTGTCCATGGCTAAGGCCGATTTGTTAGCGACAAAGCGAAGTATTGTTATTTCCCTTATGTTTGTTATTTCCGTGTTTCCCCGTGTTTTCTTTGTTCCTATTCTGTGTTATAAGTAGGAGGAAATGATGATACGATTCCGTTTGTCCTTGGCTAAGGCCGATTTGTTAGTGACAAAGCGGAGTATTGTTATTTTTCTTTTGTCTGTTAGTCTTGTGTTTCTCCCTAGTTCTTTTTTGTGTACAAGTAAAAGAGAGTGATGATACGACTTCGTGTATTCCTGGCTAAGGCCGATTTGTTGAGAATACATAGCGAAAGTGTTGTGATGTTTTTTCTGTCTGTTAGTTTTGTGTCTTTCCGTGTCTTTGTGAGGTCAGATATTGTAGTGGAGATATTTTGATGGTCTAAAATGTGTTAGTTTGTGATTTGAGTATTGTGTTGTTGAAGTATCATATAGGACGTACAGGCATGTGACCTGGATTTGTGTTTCCTTGGATATTTCTGTTGTTGTGTAAGACTGCGTAGCAGCATCCCCTTTCCGTGAATTAATAGAAAGGATAAGCCTTTCTATGTGTTGAAGTAAGACTATTGGCGATAGAGTCTCAATAGCATTCCTTCTTGTTGTAGTGTTTGTGATGTAATGTTGATGATTTGGTGGAAGCGGAGGTACAAATACTGGCATTGTCCATTGTGACGTTTTGATTTGCTGAGGTGAAAGTACCTGGCCGCTTATTGTGAAAGTATTGTTTATGTCGATTGTGAGACCATGTTAGTGAAACATCTGAAGTATTTCTAGTACTACCGTTGAATGACCCACTAAGAATTCCCCAGACTTATATTGTTGTGACCATGTTCGAGTTTTGTTGACGAATAGTGAACGTTTCTTTCTGATTTGTATGACGATGTTGTATTTGATTATTATCCGTGAAATGATGAAGTCTATTTTTTTGTGTTGTTCCCTTTTTTTCCTTCCCAAACTGTGTCTTTGACCTTATTAGTTGTCATAAGAGGAACGGCTAGGTCGATGAGTTTTGGATTCGTCCGCCAGGTGACCTGTTGAGCTTTTAAGGAAGATAAGTCAGTAGTTTTTGCCTTGTGTATATATATATATATATACTCTTCTTCTTCTTCTTCTTTACCCTTCTTGCCCTGCTTTTGAGATTTGTGTACCCAGTTGGAAGTTTTATTGTTGTTGACGGACTGTAATGATTTTTTTGTTCTTTTTGAAGATTATAGTGTTTCTTATGTTCCCTTGGAGATCTGTAATGATGTTTTTGTTTCTTTTGAAGTGTTATCGTAACTTTTTTGTTTTCTTTGGAAGACTGTTACGAGTTTTTTTTGTTTCTTCAGGAAGTATTTAGTTTGAGACTGAACTGATTGTGTATTGATTATGGCTTGTATGCCATGTGTCCCTGTTCTTTCTTCTTTTCCAAGATTGTGTATTAGCATTTTGGATTTATTTTCTTCTTTTGTCCTTTTGGGAGTTTCCTGACTTGGAAATTTTTCGCTGTGTCAATCCCAGAGGATATTTCTATGGAACTATTGGCCATCCTGTTTTCTTCTTTTGTGTTGGTTTAATTTTCAACCAGTGGTTGAAAATTCATTGCTTGACTGTTATAGTCAAGTTTGTTATTTTTTGATATTGTTTTGGTTATCTATTATGTGGATAACCATAGCGAAGCTTGTCTAAGCTGTGTTGTTGGCCACCCGCCTTTGTTGAGCTGGAAGCACCCCTCTTTTCGCTCCCAGAAACTTCAACACTGGTCTGTTCCACGTTTTTGGTTAGGCTAGAGCCATTTTAGTAGAAATCTGCCATTGTGTCGTTGTGCTTAAGAGCCAACAAACTGTACCTGGTGCCGATTCGTCAAATCGAGCATCCAGTTTTATTTTGTATGTTATTATGTTAGAACCATAAACAGTTATGATGTGTAGTTTTGGTTATGATTTTTGTTTGTTGTTTTTTGTTCTGTTTGAGTTATTGAAGTCATTATGTGTTGTTGCAGTAGTTAGAAAATGCTACTGTTGTTCCAACCTGATTGTTGTTCGCCCTAAACGAAAACTTTTCCTGTTAGTCCAGTTTTCGCTCTTACGTGGGGGTATTGTAGCATTTTAAATTTGATTGATTCTTTGAAGTATATTTAAAGTCGCCTCGTATATGAAATCGTCTTAATGAAACGAAGAATGTTTTCTGTTTTTTAGTTCGTATCTTTCGAAAAGTGTTTTCAATCATTCTAACGTCGTAGAGTAATAAATCCATTTAATTGTTGTTTATTTTACTGCGGCGATTTCTTTTCATGTAAATGCGTTTCAAATTATATCTACGTCGTTCTTTGGTTTTGCTATTTCAGCAGTTCGTTGATTTTCAAGTTAAGCGAACAAATTTTTAATTTCGTCACTATCGGTGGAGCCGCTGTCAAGGGCAGTTGGTTTCGTTTGTTTAGTCCGAATTTTCATCAAATTCGTAATGTTTTTTTTTGTTATTAGTTTTTTTCATCAGAAGTATTGAAGTTTGGTAGCATGTGTAGTTACAATTTGAGGTTGGTTTATGATATTGACGGAAAAGTGCTTGGGTGGTATTCTTCAAGGAACCGGCAAATTTATATGTGGAGAAGTGAATATTATACTCAAATGTAATGTGTCAGTTTTTGTCTGAGTTAATCACCGATTTGGGTCGTGCTGTGTTTTGAAGAGCTTTGTGTTTTGAGAAGTTTTGAAAAGCCAAGCTTTGAAGATTGCAGTTTAATTAACCCGAAGTCCGATGGTCCAGTGCCCAGCTTTCATCGTATATTTGTTGTCCCTGGTCATTCCAGACCATTTTGCAGCTTGTGAGAAGCATTTGTTTGTTTTGCAGTGTTTTTGAGTAAAGTTCCAGCCCCAAAACTTTTAAAGGAGATATAATATTCAGTGATATCAGGTACTCTTTTTTTTTGTAAACATTTTTTAAAGTAAAAAGGTTAACCTCAGTAAGTAAGCTCCATTTAAAAATATGATAATAAATATTTAAATAGTTACCGCTACAAAATGTCGCGCAAATAGGGTCCCCAACGCCCAGAGTTGTAAACCGAAAGCGCCATTGTAAGTCGTTTTTTTTTTTGTATTTTGTTAGTATTATTTGTATTTGTAACTGTTTGTGGTACACATAATTAAAGGTTAAATTTTATTTTCTTAACTTTTTATTTATTTTTTTTAAGCTAACCCTTTTTGAGTTTATTTGAAAAAGATATGTTTTGATTTTATTTTCTAATTATTTCCCTAGTTACAACTAGTGGTTGTAATAGGCATAATTAGGCACCTCAAGTGGCGCCCTATATTAAATTCCTTGAGGTGTTTCTTGTTTATTTTTTATTTTGTTTATCCCAAGAGCCCTTTATTTCATTTTTTTGTAGTTGCCCCATTCCAATGCCCCTTATCTTTTACTTATCCACGACCCCAGCTCTCCTACGAAACCCTGAGTGTCCGTTCGCACAAGTAGCGATTATTTTGCTTGCCTTATCTCAACCCCTTTAGTTTCTTCCGCCAATTTTCTACCCCCTTGTATTAATGGCCCCTGTGGTAGGCAAAATATTTCCGTTACATCTTGACTATTTTTTGATCGACAAAGTTCAAACTACATAATAGACATGTAGAATTGTTTTGCTCTTTTGTGCTAGTCCATTTTTCTGACTAGTAAGATATTTTTTCTGTTATGTTATAAAAACACTCACGGTGTCATAAGGCACTGAATCCATTTTTGACCTCGATAATCCTCACAACATTTTCCGTCACAGAAAATACAATTTACATCCTTATTTTCCGGATCCGTTACACCAGGAATCTCTTCCAAATCCATATTTTCATCATACTTACTTACTTACTTCGTGGCGTTACAACCCTTCGTGGGTTTTAGCCGACTCGAAATGCATCCACTGTTTTCTGTCTTGAGCAACCTCCATCCAATTTTTCACGCCCATAGTGCTTAGGTCCCCTGCTATATTATCTCGCCTTCGGAGACGAGGGCGTTCGCGTGGTCTCTTTCTAGTAGGGGCTTCCTCATACATATTTTCATCAGCTGGTGGAAATTCCTGCTCAGTTAATCAACAATTAGAGATAATAGAGGTCCTTCATGCTTACAGCATATATCACCCTGGACAAAATCTATTTTAGTAGTAATAAATTCGGTTTGTAAAAACCTAAAATTTGATGTATGAGTGTGCTACTAAGTTGTTGACCAAGAGAAGGTGAGCGATATTGGATAAGGATTTTTTTGTTATAGGGGAAAATTATGAATTTTGATAAATAGTTAGATAATGTTTGAATGATTACTGAGTTAAAACTATTGAGTACATGTTTGATATATGAGTTGACTAAGAAATAATGAAAGAGAAAAGAATATACAGGAATGTGATGTAGATGTGAAGAGTGAAGAAAATGGTAAAATATTATGGTATGATAGATATGGGTGGTTCTGAAGTTAACAATAGGGTCTAACCCTATTGTTAGCAACCATTCTCTACACTTTTGCCACACCTTCCCCTCATAACTTTTCGACTTTCCAAAATTTTATAACCACGTTTGTTTTAACTAAATGGTTTATACTTATTTTAGGCAATTTAAAATTTAAACCTGATGATGGACTGTTTAGTCCGAAAACGTTTGTTTGTTTTTTGATGTAGCCCTTTTAAGGGTTTTTAAATAAATATACACATTTACGAAGACTAACCTCTTTTTTGACTCAATACTACTCTCTTAAAGTGAAGATGATTGACAACGTATGCTGAACCAATATAATATAACCGCCAGAAAATTTAACGTGTTAATTTTCCCAAAAAAGACAAAATACATGGTTCATCATCATCATCATTGGCTTTTACAACTCTTCGTGAGTTTTTGCCGCGTTTACTATTGCCTTCCATTGATTCCGATCCTGTGCTATTATTTCCCATGGCCTTACTTCCATCTTCTCCAGGTCTTCCCTGACTGCGTCTTTCCACCTTTTTCTAGGCCTTCCTGCCGATCTTCTACCATCTGGTTTTCCAAAACACATTGCTAATCAGTCTGTCATCATCACTCTGTACCACGTGGCCTGACCATCTTAATCTATTGGCTTTTATGTATCTTACGATGTTTCCTTTCCCGAAGAGAGTCTCTATTTTATTGTTGTATCTGCTCCTCCATTCATTTGTCACGCTGACCCTGCAAGGAGCATATATAATTCGCAGGATTTTGCGTTCCGAAAAATACATGGTTACAACAACAAATTTACTAATATCTAAATTGAAGCTGGAAGGTCAGATAATAGAACAAGTGATGGAGTGTAAATATCTAGGTATCACATTATCTAGCTACGGAAAGCTCGAAACCGAATTGGAAGATCAAGTAAATAGAGCAAACAGAGACACAGGCTGCCTAAATAAAAGAATATGGAGAAATAAAAATATCGGCAAAGAAACGAAAGGCAGAATTTACAAAACAGTCATCAGACCAATAATGACATACGCGGCCGAAACAAGACCTGATACAGAGAGGACAAAAAGGATGTTAGAAACTGCAAAGATGAAAACACTTACAATAGAGTAGTAGAGACGACAATAGCCGGTTCCTCAAGAGGAAGACGATCAGTAGGAAGACCACGAAACAATGGAACGACAAGTTACTGGGGGCACATTAAAAAACAGAGTCATGTCTATATAAAAAGAAGAAGAAGAAGACTCTCTTCTAAGAGCCAACTCAATAACCACTTCTACTACTTACTCTATTATACAAATATTAGAATTTTGCTTAGTTCAAGATGTCTTTGTATGCAATAATGAATATTATGGACGACATGTTGGCTTAGTTATCGGTAGTTGTCGCTCTCCTCTTCTAGCTGATATATTTATGGGTCATTTAGAATCCACATTTAACATATAAAATCATGAAATACTCGATAAACTAGTTTGGGTATGTTAACAATGTTTAGTCTTTATTTCAGATAATTTCAATTCAGCTGATCAATTACTTTCTAAAATCAACCAAATTCATCCTTACATTAAGTTCACCATGGAATTTCATCCTCCATGGAAAATCGTCTCAATTAATTAATTTTCTTGACCTCATTATTACCAGACTAAATGACCAATTCGACTTCAGTAGCTACAGTAATCCTACACATGCAATTCCACATAATTGCAGCTTTCCATAGTTACATACCTCGTATCGAGAACATGACAGACATACCTCTTGTCTCAATATAATTACATTAAAGAATTTAACAGGCAATAGAGAAAAATAAGAACATGAAAGTTTTGAAGAGGAGCGTAAAAAGGGGAAAATAGAAATTAACAAACTGAGAAACAGAACTGGTGAAGAAACAACGAACAGAGATGAAATATTAAGAATAGTCGAAGAGTTCTACACAGAGTTATATAGATCAAGAAAAAAAAGATAACAATACGGAACCTCCAATTACACTAAAAACTGGAGTATTAAACCAAGGATCAGATTTAATGCCCAATATAACAAAATCAGAAATCAAAGAAGCCCTGAAGAAAATGAAAAATAATCGAACCCCGGGTGAAGATGGAATAGTATCAGAAGCACTAAAAATTGGAGGGAATGTACTACTTGAAAAAATTAAACAACTTTTCAATATCTGCTTTCACAGCGCCAATATTCCAACAGACTGGAACAACGCTAGTATGATTCTATTATACAAAACAGGAGACAAAGCAAATTTAGAGAATTACAGACCGATTAGCCTCCTCAGCCATATATATAAGTTGTTTACGCGAATACTAGTTAAGAGAATGGAAAGAAAATTAGAGACTTATCAACCAAGGGAACACGTAGGATTCCGAAAAAGTTACGGAACAAATGACCATCTAAAAAGTATAAAAACCCTAATAGAGAAAGCAGTGGAATAAAATAAACCTCTAGTTCTAATATTTATCGATTTTCACAAAGCCTTTGACACAGTTGAGCTAAGCAAAATATTACAGGCGCTTAAAGGATGCAGGCTAGATTATAGATATACTAAATTATTATACAAAATATACCTGCAGACAACAACCACGATCAAATTACATACTAACAGTAATCGCATAAAAATAGAACGGATGGTTAGACAAGGAGACCCAATGTCACCTAAACTTTTTAATACGGTGCTAGAACATGCTTTTAAGAATTTGAATTGGATGACAAAGGGAATAAAAATAGATGGAGAATATCTAAACAACTTACGTTTCACCGATGATATACTTATAATAGCTGAAGATCTAGGTATGGCAAGAGAGATGGTACAGGAACTCGTTGTGGCTACAGAAAATTTAGGTTTAAATATAAATATCTCGAAAACAAAAATCATGACCAATTTGGTACCCAACCAGAACATCAGTATTGGTGGGAAAGAAATAGAACTCGTAGATAGATATAAATACCTGGGACATGAAATTATGATTGGCAGAGATAACCAGGCTCATGAACTGAAGTGAAGAGTCGGCCTTGGGTGGGCAGCATTTGGAAAACTGAGAGGAACTTTTAAAAGCGAGCTGCCCACATGCCTAATGAGAAAGGTATTTGATCAGTGCGTCCTCTCAGTCTTGACGTACGGAGCAGAAACACTTACCTTAACAAAAGCAGCAGCTACCAAACTGAGAGTCACGCAGAGAAAAATGGAGCGGTTCATGTTAGGAATAACTCTGCGAGACAGAATAACCAACTAAGACATCAGGAGAAGAACCGGAGTGACTGACATCATCGAGAAGATAGCCAGACTAAAATGGAAATGGGCAGGACACATAGCCAGAATGACAGATGGGCGATGGACAAAAAGGTTATTGGAATGGAGGCCAAGGGAAGACAAGAGAAGCGTCGGTCGACCACCTACAAGATGGACTGACGATTTAAGAAGAATAAATAAAAATTGGATAAGAGCGGCCCAAGATAGACGGGGTTGGAAACATGAGGAAGAGACCTATGTTCAGCAGTGGACTCTTGAGGCTGGATGATGAAAGAATTTAACATCCTTAGACAAATAACACTCAATAATGGATATGATTCCAACATTATTAGTAAACTCGTCCAAATATCATCATGAAAGCCTCTCTGGAGATATTAGAAATCTTATCAAAGGATCTGTAGATAACATCCAAATTCCTTTTTATTTAGGCCAGTGTCTTACTAACTCTAAAGATCTTCTCAACTATATGAATCGTAGTGGTGTTTATAAACTCAAATGTTCTAGTTGTGATTGTGATGTTAGATATATAGGTAAAACCTGTAGATCATTGTCATCAAGTTCTCTCGAGCACACAAAACGGAAAACACTTCCACTTTCTCTCACCATTTAAAACAAACAACCATACCCTTAACATCCCAGATGTGACTCTTACGCAATATTCTGCAAAAAAACTTCTTAAGATCTGTAACTTCTTAAGATTCTTTGGACCTGTATGAAAACTTGGAAATAAAAAAAACAAAAAAGTCTTAATTGCTTTAATTGTCACGTCTCATTCCACCGAGACTTTCTTCGTTTCCACCTCTATTTTCATAGTTCATATAACTTAGCACCATTTTTGCAGCATTCAAGATGATTTCGTCGATATTCAAAGGTCAGAGGTAGCACTCAATGTAGCCGACATAAAAAGATCAAAAATGCGAATTTAACGATGAATTGTTCGCATTCATTGATCTTCCGTTTTCTGCAAGCAAAACTATGGATTTGCAATAGACCCCTACTGATTCACTTGAACTTTGACTATATTCTGCTATTTAAGTCCAGTAAAAGCCTACATAGGACTGACATTTGCTTTTGACTGACATAAAAGAATAAAAATATAGATTTACCATACGATTATTAATTACTATTTTGCATATAGTGAACCTATGTGATCTTAGCAACTATCATAGTACCATTAACTGTAATTTTGAGATGAACTTTCTTATTGTTACAGCTTTCACTTATTTTCTTTTGGTAAATATTTGAAACGCCTGTGCCAAAATCTGTACAATGTCAACGACGTCTGATTCTGCGCTTTCTTTGGTAGAAAGGAAGAAATTACAGTGGGCAAGAGAAAAGGGTAACATAAAGAATACCGTAAGAGAAGCAACTTTGCTTTAAAGACTGTCTTTTTCAGAAGAACTCGCTGCTTTAAATTCGTCTTGGAGTGCCTCGGATCAAAATTGTAGGCCCTTTGATAGGTAATTATTATTTTTGTTTAAGTTGTCATTTTTAATCAAACATAAACTAGCCTTATATAAAAAATTTAATAATAATTTATATTTTTCCTATTAATCCTACCCTTCTATATATACTTCTTGTAATGGATTGTGCCTCACAGTATTATTCATTTAGAGTTTACTTAAAATGAATAAACTTCGGAAGCAAAAATTACACTAAAAAACAAAATGCTAACCGGAATTTCTCATCGATCAGTCACAACAACAAACCAAGCACGAAACTGCTTTCCAAATTGGCCTACAGCACAGTCATTTGGTCAAAAAAAGGGGTTACCTAAAAAGTTTACCAGGAGTTTTGAAAATTGGTAATTTTATAGATTTTGATGAGATCTTTTCAAATTTTAATTTTTGACACCTTGTATCTACATATGTATCATAAGATGGACATGATGGACATAAGAATTAGCCCTCTACAATTTTTTTTGACAATCGTATGAGCATTCAAAGTTGAAGGTTGTGGGATAAACTAATTAACGTATCTCAGAAACAAATTAAGTGATCTAGGCCTACTACGGCTCATTTGATTCGATTTAAAATGTTATAGGCTTGAATGTAATATATTTAAAATAAAAAAAAGCAATTTTGCAATAAATATTACGTTTTTGGATTTTGACCTTCATTTTTGCAATAACAAATAAATTAAATTGAACGTATACCGGCTCAAATTGAAGGTATTTTAGAGTATTTTCATAATCTATACCGAAATTACCCATTTCAAGACATAGGGGAGAGTCACCCAAGTTGGGACAGTTTTTTTTATAACAAATACTTGAAAATCTATAGATATTAAAAAAAAGTTGAGGTAATAAAATGAAACTTTATTCTAAGTATTAACACATTTTAGATATAAATAAAAAATAAAAAATATGCTTCGTTTTTTTTTATTAAAAAAAAGTGTGAATGTCCCATCATGAGAAACCGGAATCCTAAGATGGTTCGTTGGGTTTCTCAAAAAGGGACATTACTCTATACAACTTCCACAAACAAAATAGAGATCATCCATTACTCCACAAGACTTATGAGCCCAATTTGAACATATTTTGCAGTTGTACCAGTCTTCACTACTCTCTGCGTACTTCTTTCCACATACAATGCAGTTTGAATTATCTTTAGTTGAAGTGACGACTGTGATATTGCTAATATTTGCATTTTGAGCGCTGTGATCTATAACTACAGTTCGTTTCACAGATTTAACCTTATTAATAGGGATTGTGGATTGCAACGTCTCTAATTAATTTTTATACGGCGATTCTGTGAGTATCGTGGATTTCAGAGAATGTCTAGAAGAAGTCTTACCTTTCTTTTCTGTGCCTTTGGTAGCGGACTAATATCAGTCACTTTTACCTTGGATGTTGGAAATTGGATAGGAATGATTTGGCTTCTCTCTATCGGTCTGTTATCTTCGGAATCGCCATTTTTAGGTGACCTTAAAACAGACTGTTTTGAAGTTGAAGGAATCGGATTATCATACATTTCAACTTGATTTACGCCTTCGGTATGAGCCATTATTACGGGTAATTTATTGACCTGTGATGTAGTTTCATTGTCCACTGATTGTTCCGTCGTTTTAGAGGGAGCGAATTCGCAGTCTTGAAATACGTCTTCGTTAAAAGGCCAAATTCCGGTTACTCGGAATCCATTTGTCGCTATCTGTACAGAAGATGCCTTTGAGAATGCTTCTGCAACAGCCCCTGAGATTTGATATATTCCAAATGTACGACCACAATGATTTTTTAGCCATCAAGTAAGGTACAAATCATAATAATTCATAAATGATTTAAAATACGAAACATCCAGGGGTTGCATTTTACGCGTACAGTATGGTGGCAGGCATAATAAAATAATACCATTCTCGCGACAAAAGTTTATAACGTCTAAACTTTTTGTATGTGAACAATGGCCGTCCAAAATACTAAGAATTTTGCACTTCTTCGAAGGTTTGGTTTGTTGTGCAAAATATTTTATGAATTTTAAAAAAACATCACGATCCATCCATCCTTTGTTCTGTGGAAATGCCGGACTACCGTTAGGTGCATTGTCCATCAGCTCTGGTTTTATTTTCTTTCTGGGAAATATAAAAGCAGGCGCAAGAAAATTGCCACTTGCACTCATAGCAGCCACTATAGTGACATTAACTCCTCTTTCGGCACTTGTTAAACCTCCCACTTGCTTTTTACCCCTATGAGCAAGAACTTTAGATCATTTTTGGACATTGGTCACTTCGGTCTCATCAATATTCCAGATTCTATCTGGAGTGAGGCGATGTTTATTATAAATACTTTCCAGGTTGTTGAAAAAACTTTGGACTGCATTCTTGTTGAATCCTGTAGCTCTAGCGTATGAGGTTGCTTCTGGTTTTCTCAGAGAAATATTTCTATGTAGACTCAAAAACCCATAAACCTACTTTTTAGAGGCAATTCGAGTATCTTTATTAAAATTGTTAGCAATATTATTGGCTTACGCAAAGTCAAATGCCAGACAACGAAGTTCTTTATAAGTGATTCCAAAAAATCGCTTTTCCATTTCAAGAATATGATCTAAAATTTCGTGTTCCTGTTCAACTGAGAATATTTGCCTAAACCGACCAAGATATTTGTCATTTTCGGTCATAATTTTATTTTTGTTTGTAATTCATCTTTAAAGAGTACTTTTAGGAATATTGTATCTGTCAGCAGCTTCTCGAAGCGATAGTTCGTTATTCCGAACTTTTTGTACAGCTAGAATCATATTTTGAACGGACCAGTTTCCACGATCAGTTTTTCTTTTGTAATAGGAATTTGGATTTCTATTTGGCATCTGTAAAAGAAAAATATATCAGTGCCACTTACGAGATATAGAGTTCACTGAATAAAACATTTTTTAATGACACATTATCTTTACTTAGCTATAATCAAGGTTAGAATATTATGACCTCCTTGGGTATAATCTAATTACTGAACCCCTACTTATAAATGTTTTTAGAATGAATTACCGTTATATGTAAGAATTTATGAGTAATTAATGATTTAATTAGTTAAAAGTAGGCAGGTATAAGAAGAATATCTGTAGCCATATTTTAGTTCCTAAGATGGGACGTCCCGACTTAGGAAGTTTAACTTTGTCCCATCTTAAGAGATTTGCACCCATTTTGTAAAAATCTTAACCAAAATTAAACAAAAGCTTTAGTGGCAAATACTTTACAGTGAAATGCAATGACTATAAACTCTGTTATTGACTAATAACGTTAAGTTTCACAGATACTTACCATTAACGCTATATTCACTATAATGTTAATGTTGTTAATGTTATACGTAAATAAATTTAAAAAAATATGTAAACATTAACAACTTTTTCTGACGAACGCTACCGGTATGCTAGCCTCGTGTCGTTTATGTGACAATACGACTGAATAGCGAGCTTTCATTCTTCCAGTGCAGGTGTTGCCACTTGTTACACATTTTCTAGAATTGCTATTCTTTGTTTCAAGTTAAGAAAATAACATTACGCTTATGGAGATCAGTGTTGCCAAAACTCTCAGACACTCTCTTTTGCACGGATGTCCAAGATATTCCCTTTGCTTAATTTTTGAATTTTCATTTTCAATTAACATTTAACTGTAAAGTCAGAATAACTATTAAATAAAAGCCTTATTATCATTATGTAGTCAGAGAACGACATAAAATAGCTGACATACGCACATCGTATTATTTTAAGTTGCAATTAGTAATTAGATATATACGCATTCCAAGCGGTCAATATTTTCTACTGATTTCTATGATTCATGGCATATCGTATTCTCACCGAAAAACAAATAAACTGTCGTTACTATAATTAAAATAAGATAAAATAAAATTATCTTTTGTAAATACTATTTATCTAATTAAAATCATTTTCCCTACTTTTCATCTCTTGTTTCGAATGGGCACTTTTGGTCAATTACGTAAAAAAACATTAATTTAATTCATGTTTTTGGAAATGAAAATACAAATTATACAACCCTAAATTTTGCTTGTGTGTGTCGTGGCAACGCCGCGTTGCTATCGTCCATAAGAAATACATGGCCCTATCTCCGCAATGTTATTTTCTAAACGTGGAACGTAGTATAGTGTCTCTACTTGGGAACCGTCCCGTCTTAGGTAACTCTCCCCTACTTTGGGCAAAAAATGAAAAAACTCAAAAAATACGTATTTTGCACCTATAAACGCTCATAAATAAACAATAACCCAAAATCTTATAACCCTTTATAATCTAGGCCACATTTTACATAAATTCCTGGATTAGAGAGTACTTTTCCCCCACATCCTGGGCTACTGATTATTACTAAAGTATATTTTAATATACCAGGCAATCTTGCTGAATTAAAAGTTGGGATAACGAAAGAAATCAACAAAATAACCCCGGAGGTCATAAAAAATGTTGTCCAAGAGAATTCCGAGAATTCCAAACTTGGCTCGGTTATTGTCAAGACGTGAATAATGGTGGCCAAATTAAACATTTAATTCAACTGTAAAAATTAATTTTCTCATGATTGCACAAACTCAAAAAACTTTATATTGCTGAACAGAGAACTAAAATTTTTTTCTAACAAGATGCTACACGACCCCCTTTGGTATTTAAAATTTTCGAAGGGGTGCTTATAATTCAAAGGGAATGCTGAAGGGGGATAATGATTTCGTACTGTAAATTGTAAGTTTAAGAATAAAAATCGACCTGTTTCAGGTTTGTTTCACATAGTACATAATAACGACAAAAATGAATTTATTCTATAAATTCTAGTCTGGTGCATAAGGTATTGAGGTCTCAAAATTGTATTGTTCAATGTTGTCTTAAAAGATCTAAAATTTACGAAACGCCAATTAATATTTTCCTAATAATTTAAATCATTTTCTTCCCAAAGAAACCCAAGACAGACTAAAAGAAGAAGCAGTCTTCCGCCTCTATATAAAAACCAGTACAACTCTTACGACAGAGAGAAGGAAATTGGCGGAGAAACTTCCGGATACGGAAGCGACAACCCCAATCAATCTCCGGATTACGTGCAGACGTGGAACAACCAGTCGGGGTACGAATCTTCCTCCAGCAGGGACGACAGGATGAAGTGGGGCGACAAAGCGTTCGAAAAATCCGATCTTCACGAACCTCCTAATTGGGTGAAGAGGGGGTTGAAAGGTGGAGAGATTATTGTTAACAACACATCTCCTGCTGAATCTCCAGAACAGCGTTATGAGGAGGAAAGACCCCAAACGGGATCTAGCTATTCACAGACTCGGTAAGGAAATTCTCTAGAAGTTGTAACAATTAAAATAAAAATATATTTCTGTACATAATGAAGCCAGAGCATTTTATTCAACAAGCATATAGTAATTTATTCTTCTTTTTTTGCGTTATATATTCTACTAAAAGTTTATCGTAAGTGCTGTCAGACTCCCATGACGTGTACTTCTCATGATCGTTGAAGTAGTGTTAAGAACAAAGCTTTGCTTGTTCCAAATCCTTCTCTGAAACCGAATTGTTTATTTCCCATTCTGTCTTCACATTTCTGCTTGATTCTATTAAGAATTATCCTAAGAAGAAGCTTGTGCTTGGGAGAGTGACTCATGAAACTAATTAGTTAAATTCTGTACATGATGATGTATTAGGTTTTTTTGGAAGTGGGATAAATGTAGACTCCATCCATATTTGTGGCAGTGTTCCAGTTTCGTATATGTGGTTATATATGTTTCTTAGTTCTGAGACATTATCATCGTCTAGAAGTTTGAGCCAATCTGGTGGTATTTGGTCAGGGCCTGGAGATTTCCCATTTTTGCTTTGTTTGGTGGCTTTCTCTACTTCTGCTTTTAAAATACTAGGACCAGTATTCGTATATTTTGTGGTGTTAAGTGGTGACCTCATATCCAGGAAGAGCTATTTTATGTAGTTGGTCTATTCTTCCTTTTTTTCGTTTAAGTCGAGAATAATTTAACCTTTGGAGTTTCTCATAAAGTGAGGAGTTCTTTTTCTCTGAGTTTAGGTAATTTCTTTAAGTTTTTTTGTGTATATTAAACTCGTTATGTTTCCTTTATAGTTCTTCCATCTCACGACATATCTGTTCTATCCAGGCCTTAGTTGCTCGCTTAACCTCGTATCTTATTTGTCGATATATTTCTCTATATCAAGTCTCATCTTTATTTTTACAATTTCTTCTTTGCTGAATAAGGTCCAGTATGCTATTGGTCACCAATCCTTTTTCTTTACTGGCTCTTTTTCTGATTGCAAAACTTCGTATGCTATGGTAACCATGGCAGAATTCATTATATCTATATTTTGTCCAATATTTTCTTGTTCAGATCTTTCTATCTGTTTTTTAATATCATGATTTATCTTATTTCCGAACTCAGCTGCTATTATGGCATTTCTTAGATTTTTTCTGAGCTGTCGGGGTTTCTATTATTTTTAATTTTAATTTAAATCCATCACAGAGCAGATTATGATTAGTTGCTGTATCTGCACTTGGAAATGTTTTTGCAGATGTAATACTCTTTCAAAACCTTCTGTTAATGATAATGTAGTCGATTTGATTTCTCTCTACCTTACCTTTTTGATCAGTTGGAGATTTTCAGGTTTATAGTTGTTTTTTTGGGTTGTTGAAACAAAGTATTTGCTATAATTCAATTCTCTTCTTGGCAGAACTATATTAGTATCTGGCCTCTTTAGTTCCTTTCTCCAAGTCCATACGTTCCTGTTATATCTTATGTTATTTCAGCACCGACGTTTGCGTTGAAGTCTCCCATAACAATCCAAGTAATATGCCAAGTAACAACACTCACCAAACATAACATTTGATAATTATTTGGCGTAATTTTGGGAGGGCTGTATTCAAGGAAGAGTCATTTCATCTTTAGAAATATTGTACAAGCTGCTTTAATTCTGCAGTTTAAATCTTTGCTTGGGTTTTCTTCTTATTTGAGTACCGTGCTCAAATTAGGTCTGGGTAGCGTAAAATTATCATGGCTGTGCGAAGCGAAATGATTTCTAGTACTGATCATGGATACCGGATACCAAGATCCGGCAGGAGAGGTATACTTCATCACAACAGGGCCTCTCAGGTCGTAATTCTGCGAAATCCCTGTGTTAAAAATACAATAAATATTGGTACATGGAACGTCAGAAGCATGTACGAGCCTGGGAAAATTCACAACGTTATACAAGAGATGCAAAGATTAAACATCGATATCCTAGGCATCAGCGATACAAAATGGTCGGGTGCAGGCAACGTCCCGACAAGCAACGGTATGATCTATTTCTCAGGAAATGAATACCCACATCACAGATATGGTGTAGCAATTGTCGTTTCAAGAAGAATGACACAGTCTGTCACTATTTTTTCGTCAGTGTCAGACAGGATCCTGCTCCTACAACTGCATACAAAAACTGCAAAACTTAATATTATACAGGTATATGCCCCTACTGCAGATAAATCAGATGAAGAGATTGAGCAGTTTTATGAACAAATAAATCAAGTTCTAAAGTCTACAAAGCCAAAAGATGTTATACTTATCCTTGGAGACTTCAACTCCAAAATTGGCAAAGGAAAAAGCGGAAAAAATGTGGGAGAATATGGTTTAGGGGCAAGAAACGACAGAGGAGACAAACTTTTAGAGTTCTGTCAAGAGAATGATATGATAATTTCAAATACATTCTTTAAGCTACCCAAACGAAGACTGTACACATGGACGTCCCCTCAACACACTAGGGAAAAAACAATCAGGAATCAGATAGATTATATTTTAATAAATGAGCGATACAGAAACTGTATAAGATCAGTTAAGGCTTATCCAGGCGCAGATGTTTCTTCAGATCATAACCCCCTGATAGCGCGGGTACACATTAGACTCAAAAGACCTTCAAATAAAACAAAAATAGATCACATAGATACCAGCCGCTTACAAGATCCAACAATTAAAGAAGATTTAAAACAACATATCAATGATAACTTACGAATGCTTTCTACAAAGACAGAGAACACGCATGTAGAAGACAAATGGCAAGATTTAAAAGACGCAATAATAAAACCTGCCCAGAAAATGCTTACCAAAGAGAAACAGAAAAAAGGACGAGAATGGATAACAGAAAAAATTTTAGGTCTCATGGAAGAGCGAAGACAGTTAAAGGGAAAATGCAGCCAAAAATATAATGAAGTAAACAAACAAATCAGAAAAGAAATAAGAACTGCAAAGGAAAATTTTTATACAAGAAAATGCGAGGAAATCGAAGAACTACATCTCAAACATGACACTTTTAACTTACATAAAAAGATAAAGGAACTGACAGGTACACAAAAACGAAAACATCCCAATCTCCTATGCAACGCAAATGGTGAAATAATAGCCGATCTACAAGAAAAGCTTAGGACCTGGAAGAACTATGTAGAAGAATTGTTCGACGATGAAAGACAAGAACCTAATATAGATAACTTACAAGGCGACGAAGGACCAGAAATAACTAAAGAAGAACTATTATACGCTATAAAAATAATGAAAAATGGTAAATCACCGGGTCCAGACGGGCTCACATCAGAACTTCTTAAGCTTGTGGAAGGCGAATCAGTGAATATTCTACTCGACCTTTTTAACTGCATCTACAAAAGAGGAGAAATACCAAAGGAATGGCTACTTTCAACTTTTGTAACCTTACCAAAAAAGGCAAATGCAAAACAGTGCACTGACTACCGCACTATAAGCTTAATGGGTCATACATTAAAAGTATTCATCAAAGTAATCCACTCAAGAATTAACAGAAAACTAGATGCAGATATCAGTAATACTCAATTCGGATTTCGGAACGGGCTTGGAACAAGAGAAGCACTATTTGCACTTAACGTCATATGCCAAAGATGTCTAGATATAAACCAAGATATATATATGTGCTTCATTGATTACAACAAAGCGTTTGATAAAGTTCGTCACGACCACTTAATGAAACTGCTAGTAGAAAAAAACTTGGATAAAAGGGACATTAGAATTATCTCTAAGATTTACTATAACCAGAAAGCAAATATCCGAATAGAGCAAGAGACAACGGAGGAAATCGAGATCAAGAAAGGCGTAAGACAGGGTTGTATACTCTCACCGACCTTATTCAATCTATACTCCGAAGACATTATAAACACAGCACTTTCGGATCAAAATATAGGTATTAAGATAAATGGCATCCGAATAAACAACTTGAGATATGCCGATGACACGGTACTAATCGCAGAAACTTGGGAAGATCTTCAAATACTAATTAACAAAATAGTAGAATGCAGTGAAGAACACGGATTATCACTTAACATAAGCAAAACACAAAATAATGCTAATATCTAAATCACCACAAAACTTCCCTGACATAACCGTGCATGATCAAAGAATCGAACGTGTAAGAAGATATAATTACCTGGGAACTGTTATCAACGAAAATAATGATTGCTCTGAAGAAATCAGAACCAGAATAGAGAAAGCTAGAGCCACATTTACTAAATTGAAAAAGGTGTTCTGCGGAAGAGATCTAAGTCTAAAACTTAAAATTCGCCTTTTGAGATGTTACGTTATGTCAGTTCTCCTCTACGGGATGGAAACATGGACATTGAAAAAGATCGATACCAAAAAGATAGAAGCATTTGAGTTGTGGATGTATCGTAGAATATTAAGAATACCCTGGACAGAGAAAGTAACAAATGTGGAGGTTTTGCGGAGAGTGCGGAAAGAGAAAGAGCTGATACTTACTGTTAAAAAGCGCAAACTACAATATTTGGGACATGTTATGAGGGGAGATAAATACCAGTTGCTGCAATTGATTATACAGGGAAAGATAATGGGAAAGAGATCTATAGGAAGAAGAAGGCATTCATGGTTGAAAAACTTGAGAGAATGGTACAATTGCACCAATTACCAACTGTTTAGATCTGCAGCATCAAAAATACGCATAGCTTTGATGATAGCCAAACTTCGGAACGAAGACGGCACTTGAAGAAGAAGAAGAAGCGTTCATGACTTATTGCCGATATTGTTATCGATCTTGCGCGACATGTAACAATTCATTTGTTGATGAACCAGTTCATTGACGAAGATTTCGGAGCTATGAATATTTTTCTATATTCTATATTTTCTATGAATATCTTTCTGCCAATTCCACTTTTTTACTCGATCTTTTTGTTGAGTATTAACCGCAGTATCCAATGTATCTAGATTTTCTCTTTTTTATTATATTATCTATTCTATTTAAGACTATGTTTGAGATGCGTTGTATCCA